AATAGTGTTGTCGTTGACAATTATTTATACGCACATATAGCAAAGAAGGGAGACTTAGTTCACAGATGTATCCTCTAAATTTTAGTCCCTTTAATATTCAATTCGACGGATACAACTTACAATACAACTGTATGTATAAAATGACTACATCTCTATTTATTCTGTCCAGCTTGACGAAAATCATTACAGCATTAAGAGTATCTTAGATTGACTTAATTAACTTTGGCTTTAATTATGCGTAGTTTGATATGTAGTTCGGTATGATACCATTGTTACACATACAGATACTTAAAGTTCCCTACCACTTCTGTCAATATATCACAGTAGATAAGTGGAGATGGGGACTCCTTCAACTACGACGGAAGTCTTTAACTTTTTGACTGTGAATGCTGTTATAACTTGTGGCATGAGTGCCCTGTTAATGTATAATGTAACGATCCCACCAATTAGGGATCAGTGAATTATCGATCGAATCAGTGACGCGTAAAACCCGTATGAACAGTCTACAGTGCTTATCGGTCCTGATTTCTGCCTAGTCCAGCCAGTTAAGTCCAGAACACCAATCCGAGCCTCTGCGATATGAATCATGTATTTCAAACATACTCGGTTTATATACAATACAAGCAAACCACATTGTACCAATAAAATGTGAAACAACATTTGTACAAGAATTAGCCAGATGTGGCTGTGAATGAGGGAGGTAGTAATTAATATACTGGGTAGAACTGAAGAATTGTAAAACGTATAATAAAGATAATAATAATTTCGTTCTTTTTGGACAGGATCTTCTGATTCACTTGAACAGCAATTAATATACTTTTTGTGATGCATTTCTCTACTCCACCTACGGTCCCGAACTCAGGAATCGAGCTCAGAACCTTTGTTCTTACGCGAACGCTTAACCACTAGACCGCTATTCCGGTATCCAACGTTGTTAACGGCTGATGTCAACTCATTCACTATGTTCATGATTTAAATGAAATCCAACAATATCCACAACCGGAAACTGAAAATTATCATGTGCTTATGAGTGAATAGCTTCGAGAGGTCATTCTTGGAATTCTAATGAGAGTGGAGTTCAACCGTGTCGGGTGTGAAGCAGTTATTCACCGAAGACAATGGAAGATGATCGCGCGACATCGTCGATTAGTTGAAGTTAGACATTAACACCATTGGATACTGGTTCATTGGTCTAGAGTTTGAGCGTTCACTCAAAACCGAATGTTGTGGTTTGGATTGACACGTGTAAGATGGTGGATGCGCATCGTTGAGTAGTTTGTTATTATGACGAAACAGTCATCCAGTGCATTCAGGTTTTCAATGTTGGTTTAACATGGATAGTTTCACGATTTCAATTTAACTTTACTTTCTACAAGTGATTCACTCTTATGAAGCTATATTTACGTTTAAACACTTTAAGCATAAGACATGCCAATTGTTCTCCTTATATATATGCAAAGAAACATAAATAAAATGAACGATTTAATGTCGTAGTATCTTCAAAGATCTTAAATGCCTCTTACTATCGCACTCCCACTTTCCAAAATCAGGTTACTTTCAGGCACCTTCAGCAAATCTAGTCATTAATATAACAACTCTAGTCATGATTACTATCCAACAAATCAATATATCGACGTGTATGGACATGTTTAAGACACACATAGAATGTATGTCATGCTTGATAACTTGAATTTATTGTTGTTCTTACTCACGGACGGCATTGTAAACAAAAGAAAACCTTGTACAATAATGTTGCTACACTCATGTACAAGTCAACAGACAATGTTAATAATAAAAGTACTCAACTTTAAACCATACTCATTTTTGTGTAATGATTATTGATCCTGGGCCTGAAATCGATAAAGATAGAGTGGTATTAAAATCTACCAATTAGATAATTTCCAACCATCTAATTGTTAAAAGATCCAATTTTCAATCATTAGAATGCAGGTTTGAACCCTGTTCTATTTTTTGGTTTGGTTCCAGAGTAATATCATTAACTCTCATACGAAAACAAAAAGATAGCATATTGCATACATTGCGGAAGTAATTAAAATAATCAGAGGGTTTTGTGGAGATTGTAGTAATTTAATCATTGAATTCATGAGTCAATTGAAACTAGACCATCATGGAAAATCTAGAAGCACTGGACAGCCGTTTCTTCCTAGTATGGGATTCCTCAGCAGTGCGCATCCAGCATCCCACCCCGCGAGATTCGAACTCAAGACCTATAAGTTATTTCCTGGAGAAGCCGTGACCAGTGGAGTTCAACTGGGCCTGTTATGAGATAGTAACTCAATTAAGACAATGGTGAATTTTGGCGCAATTTCGTGGATTGGTTGAAGTTAGACATTAACACCGTTTGATGCCGGCTTAGTGGTCTAAAGGTTAAGCGTTCGCGTGCGAGACTGATCGGTCCTGGGTTCTAATCTCGCGGGGTGGGATGTTGGGTGCGTACTGGTGAGGAGTCCCATACTAGGATGAAAAGGCCGTCCAGAGCTTCCAGGGTTTCCATGGTGGTCTAGCTTCAAATTACTCATGAATTCAATGATTAAATTAATTAAAATAACTCTGTTATCCTATGTCTAGTGACTTATCAGAGTGGTTGTGCAATACGATCAAATTCCATATATTTTTTTCTCTTATATGATGTAAGTTTATAATTACCTTGGAAACGTGTAATTCTATCTTTTTTAACCTAGTAATCGATAATATTTTGTTGTCAAGTGTTTAAAACATTAAAACACAAGTATACTGACAATTATTTCTTGTGCAACAATAAAATATCTTTAACGATGTAATCGGTGGCATTAATTGTTCCATTTCACTTAGAAGTTTCATCAACTTTTGTATTTTGGTCGCAGGTGAATTCCCTATACTGATACAAAAAGAAAGTCACTCATCTTTTTTGTGTGGAGTTTCCTTCTTTGAGTTAAATGGTCCGATCCTAAAGGTTTTATCGTACTTTTAAACGGTTCACAGAACGAAACTCCACCGAAAATCATCCATCTGAACTAGAAATTATCTTCATCACTCATCTTTTATCTGCTCACGTTACTTTTGGTTCAGGGGAGTTACTAGTTTTGTCAATGAACAGTTTTACTGTGCAACAGTCTTCTTTATTTCAGTGTATGGCAATGATATAATGCCTGTAAAATTTAATCAAAACATACGTAGGGTGCAAGTAATTGGTTATAAATTTTTAGGAAACATTACTTGTTTATTAAGAACTAAAACTGAGGTTAGGCTTACTGTTTTAGTGAAAAATGCATAGTCGAATAGGTAGCCTAAAAATTCCCGACCGAAGCTGCTACCTTGAAACGGTGGTCGGGCTTGCCTATCGTGATGACCCAACCAAGCTATATTGGCTGGAACATATGTTTCCTGTAGGTTCTACCATGCCAGGTAGGTCGATTGGAGAGCGGTAGGACTAAAAGCAGCAACTCAAGGTCTGAGGGCGAAGTCTTACTGCTGACTGTAGAGGGGTGTGACAGCAGTAAGTTGTTTCCCTCAGACAACCAGCATTTGCAACGATGCTGCCTTCCAACAAGAAGGGGTGGGGTTAGAAAAGGTCAACCCTAAAAATTTCACACCTCACCTTACCTCACGGATTTCCTTCTCCGGAGGTAAGGCCCTTTGAAGAACGGAGCTAACACATTAAAAACCTTCCACGAAAGGGCCGTGCGCGACCGGCCTCAAGCAGTTGTCCCTTGGGCTCTGCGGTCACGCTCCCAGGTCGTTAAGACCAACACTAATCCGATTTCCTTTTCAGGTTCCTCAAGAAATACCCTTCCACGGTGTGGGCAGCCGGGAAGTGATATCAGCTTTAATACCCGTAACAGCACACGAGACCAAGTTGGTCACATTCAAATTCTTTCTATACCTCCTAATACCTCTCTTATCTCCATGACTGAGCCTAAAAATCATTATCGATTGAATGCCTAGTTACTGGTTAACACAACATACAATCCTCTCTGAAATGAGAATATTTTTTAACGAAATTTAGGGGTAGTCAAACTAAGAGATAGATTTATCCCATGTGGAATTTCTTAGTGGGATCTACAAAACAATCATTGCTTATATTTAATGATATTCTATAATAAGACCGGAACTCTTCACTTATTTTGTTTCGTTTTCTTGGATACTTGATATCATTTTCATACCTCTTTTTCTTATATTGTATATTATATCATTCTGTAATGTTGCAAGTTATTATAACATAGACCAGTTCACATTTGCCATGGGCGCCATGTTGCATTTAATTGTACTACTTTCAAATAGATCACTGTTGTATTGTGATATTGTGAGAAATCGTAACTTGAACAGTAGAACACTGAACACTTATCATCGATTAACTGATGTTATCTATCTATCTCCTACTCACCACATTAATTATAAATAAATAGTAATCATTGTTACCGGAGTTTGATTACGACTTGACGTGTTTGTCAGTCAGTCAGTCTGTAACAACGTAGAACTTCGTACGTACATCAGTTCAAGTTGCCATACCACATTAGCACACAGATGGAATTGTCAATTTAAATCCCATAGTGGTCGATAGCATTCGATCTGCACTAATAAGGACTAGAAACGCATGAAATTGATCGCCACCCAGTGATCAAGCAATTGTGATTACATCTCAGTCCTACAGAAGGTCGGTCGCGGTTCGGGTAGCTCAATGGTAACGTCTCTGACTGTGAAGCTGGGTGACACGAGATCGAACCCGCCAGGAAGCACCAGTTCCCTCAAGATTACAGGTACACCTTGCTGATGAGTGCCAAGTAGCACGAAAACCGGGTCCAGGGTTTCCTGTCGACTACCTCCAACCACCATCTAGTGCTTGACGTGTTTGTGCACGTGTGTGTGTGCGTGTATGTATTGACACGTCTCCTATCAAGGAATGGAACTTTTTTTATATTTGATAACATTGAATGGTCTCATATCTAAAATGTTTATATTTTATCGTTTTGATTATAGACAAATTGTTGCATTATATCATCATGACAAAGAAGAAACTATCCGAAAAATACAAACAGAAACTATCAAAACATCCTATACCTAAATCAAATAATCCACAAGGAATAACTGTTGTTAGTGAATTTGTTCGACAATTTGTTCGACGTCATGTTAATGAAAATCAACGTAATCAATCTGATTTATATTGGCGTCCAGGTTCTAATATTAGTCATAATATAAATTTATTACCACAATCAACAAAAATTCATCGATTAAAACAGAAACAAACGTCTAAGACAAATGATAACCCTGTCAAAATAAATCATTCTAATATAAAGAAAAAATCTTTCAATAAATCAATAATCAATCAAAAACCATCGATTATATCAATGAATTTATCCAATCAATTACATAATTTATGGAATGGTTATTTTCAATCTGTTATGTCTATTCTTCCTACTAAATTAAATGATCATAATTGTAGTAATTTTAATTTAACAAAAAATTTAGATACAATTTTACGTTTGAATTTAATTGGTGCTCAACTTAAAATTCTACGTTCCACATCATGTCGAGTAAGTAGAAGGAGTTGTTGTTGTTGTTGTTGTTGATTGTGTCATGATTTGATTTCTTATCATAAGCTGATATCAATTGATGATCTATGAAGACTAGAAAAGTTTTTTTTTTCTGATGGAGTTTTGTTCTTTGAGATGGATGATTTGGTTGTGGAGATTTCATTGTTCTTCTGAACAACAACAACATCATCATCATCACAAACTTCAGGTAGAAGTGAAGTGTACACAAACCAATCGGAGATACAATCAAAACAAAGAAGTAAACAATGACAAGTGTTAAAGGTCAACAAGAACCAATCAATATCGAGGTGTACAGGACAAGCTATGAATCATATGTGGAGAAATTTGAACACTACACTTTACCTGAAATTTGTGGTGATGATGTCGTTCAGAAGAATGATGAAAGCTCCACAGCCGAACCATCCGGCTTAGAGAACAAAATTTCATCAAAATCATCCACCTGAGCAACAAATCTTCTCCACCATCTCAGAAAGATGTTTCATCAGTCATTTATTGAAAATGTATACCTAAGCAGAAATATGTTTCCATCCACGTTGTAATATCCTACAATGGCTAAAGTGGGGGGGGTGTTGACAGGATGGGGATAGGAAAGAAGTCGAGATGAGGATGTCAATGATAGTTGCAGATTAAATTTTAAAAATATGTGCTCGAAGTGAACAGATGTAATCAGTGAATGAAGAAGTATAAATTAATACTAAGTTAAAGATTAAAATAGAGCATTGATTATTTAGAAACATATCAGCTGTGCGTATTTAGGATCTCTTACACGATTAACCGCATAATTGTTTATGTTTGTGGCAAACACTATGGTATTCATCCTCTCTGTCGGAAGATCATCCATTATCAGTTTTCAGTAATCATCGCAAGTTACAGCATCTATTATTAAAATATTGAGGAGCCCATGTAGATCATCGACAATTTAGAATATAAACAGTCTATAAATGTATCTTATTGAATATATTTTAAATGATGGGTAACGATGTAACTAAGGATGCATCTTTCATCCTGTTTAGAACTCATCAGCCTAACATACTTACATCCCAGTGATGATTTTCACACTGAGACTAGAACTAATTGCCCATCTCTAATTCGTTTAATCATAATTTTCTCTTCTTGATTAATAAAATATTTGTTAGATTAAATGGTGAAACTATGCTGTACTGACGAACTGATCAGATTTAAGATAGCACCTACAGTTTTTGCACATAGTGATAGTTATCTTGTGTGTTAATAAAAGCCAATTAAAAAATATTTGCATTTAATTCCAAGGATGCTGATAAGTTGATAAACATATTTGTTGTACAACCAATGCAGTGTGATGCGTAAGCTAAATTATAAGAAAAACCGACTAGCAATACAAGTAGATCTGAAACGTTGTAGATACTTGTTAAACGTACTTGATATGATTCAGGGTATACTCAAGGGTGTTTATGTGAATGGAAAGTATTATCCCAACTTCATAACCGTCACTTCTCACTTTGATCTTGACTTCAAATTCCTAATCCTGATCCTCTTTCACTTATTTTAAAAGTAATTCAACTTATGAACATTCTATTGTAAGTTACTTTCATGATTAAGTATTACTTTCTGATTGGATATTGTGACTAAGTACTGTATTCTGACTGGTGAATAAGTTGCTAAGGGTTGTCAATATAAGCTAGTTTTGCTTGTTTAAACAATTACAAGTCTCAGGTGAAACTTGAATTTATAGACAACCTTTGAACAACTCTAAAAAGACCTTGAAAATGTCTATCTACATACCACGACTAAATACGGGTTATAAAACAGTGTCAGTCAGTCAGTAACAACGTAGAACTTCGTACGTACGTACATCAGTTCGAGTTGCCACACCACATTAGCACAGAGATGCAGTGGTTGAGGAATTAGGATTAATATTTACATTTGATAGTTAGGTTTAGGCATTAGATATTAGGGTTTTCATCATGAAAAGACATCAGCTATAATGCTAAAATGAGTGTGTTACATCTTGAATGTTGATTTCTTGATATACCGCGTATAACAGAACACTAGAACACCAAAACCCTTCCAAGTCGCAATAAGAAGACAGAAGACTAATGAAAGGAATATTATTCCTAACAGTGTCAATTACAGTACAAAATTGTCAGGTATTTATAGTTTTTAGTAAGAACGAAATCATCATTACAGTCTTCCAGTCCGCATACAGGGGGGCTATTAGCATTGTCCAGTCTGGAAACTACACGTAGGAATTCTATAATCTTCTTCCGAAAGGTGATTGGATGGAATATCTTCGAGTCCTTCTGAGCCTCTTACAACTTCCTCGAGTTTACCCGTGGTCCGTCGTCACAGAGTGAATGAATCTCTGGCCAAAATCTAAAACCTGCTGTCTTAAATCTGATTGGTTTGTCCATAAACTCTAGTCTTGTCAAAGTTTCAATAAGTACTCTTTACCTTTTATATTTATTTTATTTATTTATTTCAACACATAGATATTGGTACAAAGGCACCAAATACATATGCGCCACACAAATCTCATTCGATATGTGTGAGGGCTGTGATACTGCCCGGGTGCCCAAACCGAAGCAGGTGATTTTCTTAGGGGGCCACTCCCCGAGCCTTCGACCTGAAGGTCTGATCCACAAGGCAATGGAGCATCGTAAGGAGATGCAGTCCCATGGAAGCCAGTGACCAACGATTGGTTCATACGCCATTTGTTTATTGAGGATACTGGAGCCCGTGTGCACCATTGGTTTGGGATCCGGTCAAAGCTCCGGACATTCGCTTTTCGTCCTCTCATATTCGTAAACAACACCCCTGTGGTGTGAGAAGGCAGTGAGTATGACTTCCCTGGCAGAGGCTATATACGCGTGGCCATGTGAGAGCATTTGGAGAGGGAGAGCGGACTCTTCCCACTCTCGGCCATACCAGGGCATTTGAGGGCACCTTTTATATAGTGATTATTTCATTATCATATTCATCGTTCAATTTCTTTTTTATTTATTTACATTTTAGGCTGGTATAGAAGGTATTGTAGTAATGGAAACAAAGAATACATTTTGTTTAGCAATAAATTCATTACATAATGAATTATCAAGTGAATCATTAGTAACTCTTACTACTGTTCCAAAATTAGGTTCATTATTTTCACTCACTTTACCTCATATTGTTAATAAATCAAATAATAATCATAGTAGACATCAAAAAATTGAAATTTTACTTAATGGTGATCATTTAACACATCGATCAGTTGATCGAGCTATACGTAAATGGAGATATATACCAACAACAGCATATGAATATAATCAAAATGCATTAACAACTGAAGCTATTTTATCGAATGTACTCATTGATAATGTAATAAATAGATGATTATTTGAATTGTTTTAAATTTATGTACAGATAATTTGTTGTAGTTGCTTGTCAGTTTGGACTTTTTTTTGTAAGTGACTCAAGAAGTGATTAAGTTGTCAGTGAGAGAGCGAGAAAGTGTGTGTGTGTGTGTGACGATAACTTCAAATTTTTAAGATAATTATGGTTGCATCCGTTACTTATTTACTTACGTCTGTTACTCCTCGTAGATTAGCATAGGCCGCCCACCAGCACTATCCATCCAACCCTGTCCTGGGTAATCCTTCCCAGCTCTTTTTAGTTGTTATTCATCCTTTTCACATGTGCTTCCATTTCCCGACGTAATGTGTTCTTTGGCCTTCCTCTTTCTCCCCCCCCTTCAGGATTCCAAGTTAGGACTTGCCTTGTGATGCAGTTTAGTGATTTCTGTAATGTATGTCCTATCCAATTCCAACATCTTTTCCTAATTTCCTCTCCATATAGAAGTTGGTTTATTCTCTCCTACAGAAGGCTGTTGCTGATGGTATCCAGTCAACGGAAACTGAATATCTTACGTAAACAACTGTTTATAAATACTTGTACTATTTTGATGATGATTGTAGTAGCTCTCTGTTATATTTGGCCGTCGCTGATTGTTGTGCCGGAAAAAGCCTCTAATCACTTATACTAGGAACGAGGGACCTCGGTAATTCACACGATGCGAAAGTAAGAACACACAAGACTGGTATAAGTGAAGATTTATTAGCCCAAACACAACAACGACGACGACAACTCTAGTCGAAACTACACTCATTTATATATTGATTGTACACCCATTTTTGATTAATAATTAGGATTAAATCACATACTCAGTTATAACAAATCACTTACTGAGTATAGTTCATGTCAACTGAATGCAAGAATATCTCGCATATTATACAGAAGAAAATATCATACTGAGAAAACAAATCGAATACTACACTGAATGATCCTCACGTTGAATCAAAACGGATGTTGAATGTTGAATAAAACTCATAATGAGTAATTCAATCGAGGAATTGACTTTTCTTTCCATCATATCAAGCAATAATTAATCTACTGGGTAGAACTCAAGAATTGTAAAACGTATAATAATAGTTTATGGGTTAAAATAAAGCTTATAATAAGAGGAATATGAATATGCATAGTTTATTTGCTTAATAATTGTTCAATAGAAATATACGTTTAGTATTGGTCCATAAATGGATCCCAAAGTTACCATTCATTATGTTTATCGGGTCTTAATATTTTCAAAAAAAGATTATTATGCAACTGAATACAATGGTCTTGTGTATGTTTCATTGATTGTGAGCACTTGACAGAAAATCAACTATAGTTGCTAATACCTTGAGATGGTGGTCGATATTGCCTATTGTGATGACTAAATCGAGCCATTTCAGTATAAATACTTTTGTCTATACAATGTTAAGCAGATGGGTTGAAGAGTGATATCATGTTGTCCAGTATATGGGGATTTTCAGTTCTGCTTTGTTGTCCCTCTCTAAGGACAATAAGACCACAACTGATCCAGTTTCCTTTTTAGGTGTTACCATTAAATCACAAGTATTTAATTGATGATAGATAGTGACTAATAGTGGAATTCAGAGCAGGCGTTTCGTGCTGTTTAAGGCTCATCAATTCGCTGTCTCTCTAACTTAATGTTAGTGTTTACTCTGAGAATGGAATCCAGTCTCTTTTGAGGCAGTCCACCTAGGGCATACATGTCACAGAAGAGATTGATCGGGATGTAAACAATAACAAGAACGAAGAGATTCAAATAAATCATAAAATTCATCACTGTTGCACCAATGATTGTATTTCTAAAATTAGTAGCTCAATAGGTAAGGTATTGGGGTGTTTGAAACGAAAGTTTCTGGATTCTAATCCTAGTGTGAACATGAACTTTATGACACAGGTAAATTGAACTGATGAGTCCCATTTGGGATGAAACGCGCATCGTAGTTTCTACTGTTGCATACTATTCACTTTAACTAAAAAAATACTTATGGTTTTTGAGCCTATATAAATAAATTTAGAAAAGAAAACTATATTTTATACGAAAGAACAATCACAATCTTCTAATTTGACCTAAAAAAGTGTATTGATTTTAATACTGACTTGACTGTTTTGTTATGTAATGTTACCATAAAAGCATTGGTAGTTTTTCGAACTATGTACCTAATGTAATTGGAGCTTTTTTTTAAAATAAGGTTATATTGGATCAGTTAACTAACAAGTTAATGATCTCGTCAATGATGAACTTGTAGTGACCTACTTTTATCGAGAGAACACGATTGGTTTAATTGAAACAATTATTATTATAACCAATTGTACCAGTGATTGTTTTACTGTACTAAAGACATTCTTCCTTCCACTATATCTCTATATGCAAACTTTCTTTTATATATTACCACCTTTGACCTAACCACTGCTATGAATCCGGTGTTCATCTTGTTGTGCTGATGCGGTATGGCAACCTGGACCGATGCACATATGTGCCTGGTTCTACGTTGTAGCTGACTGACTGACTGACATTCTTCCTTCCATTGATTGTGAATTCGGTTACGCTCAGTAACCACACTTGTAATTTGGCACGATCTCGATATCCTTTCGATACCACGAGATCGCCAACAAATACATCAACTGCCTTCTGATATTTGGCTTACGGTGGATCTTATCAGTTAACTGGTACGTAGTCTTGCTGTAGTGGTGATCATAGTCAACCGTGACTTGACGCCATAATACAAACTTAAGATGAATAGCGTTAGTTATATTATGTAATCTGAAGACTATATAAGGTAGGAAAATGATTTTATTTATCTTGATAATGTAATGGCATAATTTTTTCAGTTCATCTATGAAGTTTCATAAAAGATTTTGCTTGATTATTTGAAGTTTTGACTTTCCTTTTCTTTCTACAGTTTTTTTTTTTTGATAGATGAACTATAATAAAATAACTGTTTCATTCTAGATTAAAAATCGTTTATGATTGATAAAATAGCTTTGTTTAGTTTATAAGTCAGTGAAGCAACTTTAGAAGATACAGTCCCATGGTAGACGGTGACCAACAATAGATTCATATGTCATTTGTTCCCGCAGGATACTGGAGCCCGTGTGCACCATTGGTTTGGAATGAGGGTTTTCCAACTCTTCTAGATGGATCCTCCGTAACTACTAACCCGGTTAAAGCATTGGACATTCGCTTTTCGTCCTCTCAATTTCATAAACAACACCCGTAGTGCTAGAAGGCAGTGAGTAGGACTTGCGTGGCTGTGGCTGTCAGTCAGTCATCTACAACGTAGGACCAGGCACATATATGCATCGGTCCAAGTTGCCATACCGCATTACTACAGCAAGATGAACACCGGATTCATAGAAGTGGTTAATTCAGAGGTGGTAATATATAAAAGAAAGATTGTGTATAAGGATATAATACAAGAAAAAGAATTAGTTGGTAGAAAGAAAGATATAAAGTAATTTTAATCTCATAGTTTAAAGGAGGACAGAAAGTGTATACACGTACGCCATTGTGATCGATTCTGAGCCATGTCACCAAGAGTCTACAACCATTGGTTACGATAGTTGCACGGACTCCAACCAAGTAATCTGCATCTACCGACAAGGATCAGACTAGAAGTTAGTGACTTCAAGCACTGATGTCACGTTTTGGCTTGGTCGCCTCCAACTTTCTTCCAACCATCCCTACACTAGTCAGGATTGTGCGTCGTGGCAATCAGTGTTCAGGCATACGCAACACGTGGCCCAACCATCTCAGTCGATGAAGATTCACAACCTCATCAACTGATTTACCATCATTCCCTAATACCCTGCATCTAACCTCACTATTACTTACCCGGTGATCCCAGCAGATACGAGTAATATTTCTAAGGCATCTGTGGTCAAATACTAGTAGCTTACGAGTATCTTCAACTCGTAATGGCCACGTTTTGCTGCCATAAATTAAAACAGAACGAACTGCCGCGCAGTATACTCGTCTCTTAATTAATAGACGGATATATCGCCTTCGCCATAGGTGACGTAAGTTGGCAAAAGCTAAACGAGATTTTCAAATCGGTGGTGAGATTTCGTCAGACACCAACCCATTAGGGCTGGTCAGAATTCCAAGATAAGCGAAGTTGTCAACGCGTTCGACTACTTCACTCTCTATCCTTAGTTCAGGTATTGACACATTCCAGTCCTGCATTTCGAGGGAGAGAAGCGCATTCCAAACATTCTGGCATTGTTGCTTAGTGCTACCAGAAGACTTTGCATATTGTCAGTCTTCACCAAACAGGACTATGTCATCTGCGTATTCTAAGTCGATAAGTGGACCTCCTGGTAGGAGACCAATGTCCGAGAATTCAGTCGACGAGCGCGTTATTTCCATCAGTATGTCTATGATGAAGTTAAACAAAAATGGGGAAAGTGGACAGCCATGTCGGATACCACTTGGGGTTGCAAAAGCAAATGACAGTTCGCAATAATCTGTGGCTGTATATGCGTATCCATGTGAGGGCATTTGGGGGCAATAAATTTGTCAATTTTGTTACTGAATTTATACGTACATATATATTGTTACATGTACTGTAATATGTTTCTATACCTATTTATCTAATTAGCATTACACATTTCATTTACTGAGAGAATGTTATCTGTTCGTAAGTTTAATTGTTTTTTACACAAATTTGAGTGCATTCTATGTAGTGTCTATGACCGAAATACATTACACATGTCGATAATCAATGCTCAGCCTTAAGCTTCCGTTCTTCTTTATTACTAACATAATTAGGCTGCCCAAGATGATATGGACAAGGTGATTATATTACGTGCTAACATAACTTGTATCATATCATTAAGAGCTTCTTTATACCGTACTAGTACATGACGAGGAGGTTGGCTATATGCTTTTGCATCTCCATTGTTGATCTGATGAGCCACAGCTTTCATGTGTCCGATAACTTTTGACTCCCAGACAAATACATCATAAAACCTTTTGAACGTTCTTTTCAACAATTTCACATACTCTGAAGGGCAGTTCGCAAGTGAGGGCGACATATCATGTCTCCATTTGATCAGCTTCAATCGTTATTTTAAAACTGGGAGTGTCTTTCCCATTGCAACCATCCATTTTCCGAACTGAATTCCGAACAGTAAATTTATTTCCTCTTAAGTTTAGATATCCTTCACATTTTGTTAACAAGTCCTTCAGTACCATCGGTAGGTAACTAAATAGTGTCCTATATAGGTAAACTCGACTGGTTACAGCTTCTCGACAGAATTTCGTGGAGCTCCCTGTTGAAGTTAGTTGCCTGTGAGTAAATGATTATTGAAGTAATGGCTGCGTGAAGACTGTTAAATTTTATAGTTTACATCACTAACTGACCAGGCGTGTAGTTGAGCGTTTACGAAGGAGACAGAAGGTCCTTGTTTCGAATCCCTCCTACGGGATCGTGGATGCTCACTGCTGAGCAGTCCCATACTAGGACGAAACGGCTGTTCAGTGTTTCTTGGTTTTCAGTGATTGTCTAACATCAATCGACTTATGAATTCAACTACTAAATAATTATTTATTAAGACACTTTTATATGAAAACTAAAAGGTCAACCGGACAAATTAAAAAATAAAGTACACAAAACCAATGTGATAATCATTGTGAATAATAAATCAGTATTATCAGGGTAGATTAAGAGTAAAAACAAGTTGTTTTTGAACACATAAAGGAGGTTCGTAGTTTTCGTATAGCCAAGGCTTCAATAAATCGTGGTATATACCCTTGAAGGCTTTTGTACAACACTACAAATGCTGGCTTGATATCAACCTTATGAACAATCTCAACCAAATGTTTCTCCTTGGTGTAAGATATCTGTTTATCTTGTGATCATATTTGACCATTGGAACTTATTTGTTTCTGTAGCTATGTGCTCCGCTACCCTTACTTGCAAATCACGATTACTCCTCCCTATGTACATGTTTCCGTAAATACAAATAAATTAATAAACACAATGGTCTCATCAAGAATAATCAGTGAATTAATTGTTGGGAGAGACTATAATTTATGGACGACCTTTGAACGAACCTTAAGTGATCTTGAGAAATATTAGTCATTCAAAAAACAGGTAGTATAGAGTAAAAATATGTTATACAAAACCAAAGAATTAATGTGCACATACTTCGTTAACATGGTTTAAAAACTTTTCAAGGTTGGAAAGAGGTTTAGAGGTTCTGAAATTGTAATACATACCATAGGGGGAAATCATCCATATAACTCTATAATAGTCGGCTTCTGGAGCCATGATAAGGTCGTAAAAACTGTTTCAGCCACGACCACATAGCTTCATTATTGCTTGTGTGCACTCCGGTTGTTGGGTTCGCAAAATGCCACTTGTGGATAACAACACGTTGCATATAATCAAGTCTATGTAGGCATCTGTATGTTCTCCATTCACGCGTATTACTAGTGCTTTTATTATCCAGTTCGGAACAATCATCATAATTTGCCTTGATCTCAATCTGAATTGATAGAAAAATGTTCCTCTTCTAACAGATTTCTTCCTCCAACATCTATTATATCGAAAGACTACATCATCAAGGTAGTTTGAACAAGGTCCACAAGTCATTTGATTACCACAATTACAAATAAACTAACTTTTTAGTAGTCTCATTTGTTGTAGCCGCTGAATTACTACATTTTCTCTAAAATCTGCTGTGAACCAATCGTACATGAACATCAGGTCAGTCGGTCAGTAACAACGTAGAACTTCGTACGTACGTACATCAGTTCGAGTTGCCATACCACATTAGCACAGAGATGCAGTTGTTGATTCAAATCCCGTAGTGGTAGAGGCGGTAAGAGGATAAGCAGTAATTGGAAAGATTAGGGTTTGAAGATGTTATTCAAGGAGTATAATCCAGTGAAATAAATTTGGAAAGAGAAAAAAAGAAACAAGGAGGATTCAGGAGATCAGAATATGGGAGAACACAAAGAGTGGATGCACCTGCGCCATCGTAAATGATTTTGAGCCATGTCATTCAACGTCTCCAACCATCGGTTGCTATCATCTCGTGGTCCCCAACCAGGTAGTCTACACCTACCAACATGATTCAGTCCACTTGCCAGTGACTCCATGAATTTGTGCCATGTTTTGGTCTGGCCGCCTCTAGCTTTCTTCCAACCTACTCCTATACCAATGAACATTGCACGTCGAGGCAGTCGGTCGTTGGGCATACGTAACACTTGTCCCAGCCATCTCAATTGATGTGAACATCAAGTATTGAAATGGACACAGTGTCCTTGAAATACCTCTAACCCTTCTGATTGGTTCGTTCATTAATTTATACTCTTATCAAATATTTGATTTATTTTTAAATCATCTTCATCTATTTAAATATTTTTTTTAATCAATAATACACTGTCTTGTAATGATGCATATTTAATATTAAATCTAGATGATTGATCAATTAATCGATAAACTAAAATAATCAATAATTTGAACTGTTCATTCATTTGAATCCCACACAGATATATATATGTTATGTATGTTGTTTAGGTAACTCCTCCTGTAGTTCTTCTAAAGCTACTGTTGGTCTCTAGCCGAAGTAAATGAAGAGGGTTGGGTATAGGGTCGGCAACTTCATCCCGTAGAGAATAACTTTGCTAAGAAAAAGAAATGCTAACCAGTAAGTAATGTTGTTTAAATGTCTCTCTCTCTCTCTCTCTCTCTCTCTCTATATATATATATATATATATATATATATATATATATATATATATATATATATGGATGTTTGTATATGAATGTGTTAGGTAAGTTGAATGAACTCAAAAGAATTTTTCTTTCTGTTTTTTATTCATAGAAATTGAAGAATTTTTTTAAAATTATTATAATGTAATATTAGTAAACATGGTAAGATAGAAACGACCTTCAATTTGAAATGACTGATTGATTGATTGATTGGATTCATACTTTTAATTAGAGGTAGTTATAGTTAGTTAGAAAATAATTGAACTGAAACTATACATGGATCTCATTAGGGGGTGGGGTGTTATTTCAACGGCAATTCTAGCTAACTAATCAAGTTGTTTAATACTATAGTTTCGATGAGTTTATTTATTTGAATGAATTGAATATAATTTGAGTAATGGAATATTTCTTTATGTTATCACTTGTGGCCTTGTATCTTATTGATGTGTAACGTAATGATACCGCTTACTAAAGAACAGTGACTTATCAACCGTATCCATGACACATACGAGCAGTCTAGAGTCCTTATCGATCCTGCTCTTCACCTAGTCCTGTTTGTTGAGTCCAGAACACCAATCTCAGTCTCCGTTATATGAATCATGTATATCAAACATACTGAATTTATATTACAAACCAAACTGACCACATCGTACCACAAAATGGAAAACAACATTTGCAGAAGATCTAATCAAATGTAGCTGTGATTGTGAGAGACTGTAATCACTAGACTGGGCATAGCTCAAGAATGGTAAATCGTATATTAATAGTCTATGGGTCAAAATAAAGCTTATAATAAGAGGAACATGAATATGCATAGTTTAGCTGCTTAACAATTATACAATAAACAAATACATGTATCGTATTGGTCCATAAATGGATCCCAAAAGTTACCATCTTATTATTCTCGTTAGGATATATCACTTGACAATTAACTTTTTATGATTCAATATAATCAATATGGAATTTTGCATTTTATTCTTGAAAAAAATCAGTACTAATGAAGAATGCTGAGTGAATCAGTATGAAAAAAGAAATATAAATCAATTGGTTATGATCATCGATTACATAAATACAAAGATTAAAAGAAGGTAAGTATAAATTAAAGTTAAAGAACCAGTTAATTTTCTTTAATGATTATGTTAAGTCTTGTTAATTTGAACGCTTTATTCGGTTTCTAAGTTATTCTGGTAACCCGCAAACTAGAACTTTGCAGTGACTTGAACGCGAGAGAAAAGGCGCAAAATAAGCGAAAAACACTTTACTCTAATTGTTCATTTTTGTACAGAAAAACACGGGTATTTATAGATATTAAAATTTGTTAAATCAACATCACATTTTGGCCAATCCACTAAAAGACATATTATGCTACTGACCAATAGTAGCACGCCACGTTGATATTCTGGAAAGCTCCATCATGCTCTGATTGGCTAGGACTCTTCGGCTCCTTTAGGGCCTCTGAAGGCTCCGTTGCTATTCTTGGGAAGCCGACTCAACAGATTACATAAAATTAAAAGAAAACTCCTTTGAAGCGATATGTCCACAGTTGATTACATGCTTTTGTATAGAACTAGTAATTGTTTTACATTCTCCGTTCACTTTCCAAAAGCATCTGGCGTAACTTTTAAAAGGAGAATGTAAAACAATCACTAGTTCTATACAGGAGCATTTAATCAACTGTGATTACATAACAATTAAAATTAGGTAAACAAATCAGTTAGTTACTCGAAAGAGGTTGTACAAGATTTTTCTAAATGTCAATTACATTTTTTAAAGTGAATTCCTATACCTTATGCTGTGTGTTCAAGGTCCCATTCTACAAGTACTGGACAAACTGGACAGGATTCAATGTATGATCTCAAAATGCTTCAATCACGTGAATTTAATGACTCGTAAGATGATGGTTGTAGGTGATCAACAGGAAACCCTGGACCTAAGTTTCATGCTACTTGACACTCATTAGCAAGGTATCTCTGTGATCTTGATTATAATATTGTTATAATTATATATATATATATATGTGTTGTTCAATCAATGGTATTGTGATGTGTGCTAGTGATGTCAACAGATATATGTAGTACGTACCATCAACAATTGAAAGTGAAATGCCTGGTGGTAGCAGAAGGTTAAGAAAATCGAACAGAAAAGAACAGGAACAGAGAATGATTGCTGTGGAAGTGAAGGAACAATGAAGTCTGGGTGTTTACTGTATGATTCTCAGATTTTACTGAGGCGTTCTGCAATTTTGTTTTCAAATACACTCGATTATCCCCACTTGTGTTCTCCTTCACTACAGTAGTACTGTGGTATGTGCTACTGGCGTTGACAGATATATGTAGTATGTACCATCATCAGTCGAAAATGAAATACTTGGTGGTAGGAGAAGGTTAAGAATATTGAAGGAAAGAGAATGAGAACAAAGAAGGATTGGTGTGGAAACAAAAGAACGATGAAGTCTGAGATAATTGATCGACATTTTACGAATGAAGTATTTACTGTATGGATCTTAGATTTTACTACGAGATTCTGTTATTTTGTATTCAAACACATTCGAATGTCCACAAATTTGTTCTCGTTCACAGCATTTGGTGTCACTGCCAACCAGGAAGAGGGAAGGGTTCCGTTCTGCTGATGCCGTTGCGGACCTGGATCTGAGGTGCTAGTTGGGGCGGTCTGTTACTCAACTATTCAGTTCAGTTGTCGAGTTTCCGAGCGTCATTTTTTATGGTTACGCGAAAACAATTAAGAACAGTCAATAACTTTGAAATTGCATTTTCGACAGACTGAATACAATAAATAATCATAAATAAACAAATTCAGGGTAGGAATTTACAAATTCTAAGCACAAAACTGATCTTTACCTATTCTAATATGAATAAAATTCATATTTGTATTCAAACGTAACTGTCTTACAACCTCCATTATTAAAACTTATACTTGATTAAACACTTTGTTATTGTACTGCATTAAACCTCATTTATTGTCTGTTCTATTTCTTAACATGAAGAGCCTTAACGTGATTTTTCAAGACTTCTATCAATAATTATGCGATGATGTCAACTTTAAAATCATTTTCTTCATTTGAAAAATATAATTATACCACTGACCTATGTCATTCTTTATTGTTTTCATAAATAGTTCTGAGGTTTATGATTTACATCATAGACGAACTTTACTTCGATGATCACTGAAAGCAAACACTCTCATTCTAACAAAGGACTTTTTAGAAGTCTCTAACTATAACTCCATCGCAGACGTGGAACTCAATATCTTCAAGTCACGCAGCGAATGTTTAACTCTTAGACTAATGAACTGGTATTTAATGGTTTACATTGGTAGGTAACTGTCACGCACACAACATCATTGAATTTTTAACATTAACGACTATTTGATTAGCTCATTATCATTTGATTATTTATTCATTTTAGTATTATTCATTAAAATTGTGATGTGGGCTAGTAACATCGATAGATATGAGTAGTATGTATCGTCAATCGAAAGTGAAATGCTTGTCTGCAGAAAGTTGAGAAAATGAAAGAAAAGATAACGAGAACAGAAAGCGATTGATATGGAAATTAAGGAACAATGAAATCTGAGACAATAGGTTGACAACTTTCAACTCAAGTGTTTACTGTATGATTCTCAGATTTTGCTTTGTATTTAAATACATTAGACTGTTCCCACTTAGTGTTCTCATTCATTACAGTATTATTGATTCACTCATAACCTTTTTGAAAAAATGTTTGATATATCCAAGAGAATTCCTACAAGAAAATAAACTTTGATTTTATTTGGAAAGTATCGAGGAAACGATAAAAGAAGCGTAGAAAAACATTTTCTTATACTTAAAGCTGAGTTGACGTGATAGAATACACTTGAAAAAAAAACTAATCTCAGTTTACTAAGTTTAACAAATGGTAAACTGTAATTTCTGTAGGAAATGATTTTCTACACAATTATACCCATTATTTAGGTACTTCAATCCAGTCAAGCTATTATTTACTTAAACACATAAACATTAGTATAGGGAGGCACCGAACAGATATGTGCCATATTTCACCATTCGGTTCGTGTGAGGTCTGGGGTACTGTCCGGGTGCCCAAACCGAAGCAGCAGGTTTTTTGGGGGGGCCACTGTGGTGTTTGAATTAACTAATGATTCTTTTGTACTTGTTGAATGCTCGATTTCGAATTCTAAATACAGTACATTCGTTGTGCATGTGTTTTCTTAATTCAATTGCGTTAATCCTGGAATTCCTAATTCATACTATAATTAGAATACTATATTGGCGTCGCGATGGAGCCTGCAACTTCAGAAGCTTTTGAAGATTACTTTGAAAGGTTCGAAATCTGGGCTATGACCAAGGAAGATGATGAGGATGTTAATATTGTGGCACACTTCCTCACATTCATTGGAAAAGAAGCATACAGCTTATTAAGAACTCTGGCTATGCCGGAAAAACCCATTTCGCTTTCTTATACAGCTCTCAAGGATCTACTGCTAGACTATGCTCAGTATACAAATTTCAAATGTCGTAAAGGAGGAAGATTTCGTAAAATGATTCATGAGGATATAAAAAAGTCCACTACATTACTACGTCATCTCAACCTAGTGCATACTCAAGGTTATGCAGACAATTCATTGAATTTGGATGCAGTTCACGAGGATGGGGACAAGTTTGGTCAGTGTTTGTCCTGTTGCAAGTTCCACTCTTCTAATTCATGTAAATTTCATAATTCTAAATGCTTCAAATGTCGTGATATTGGACAAGTTCAGTCAGTTTGTAATGCTAATGTTCATCTTACTGCAATTAATATTAAGTCTTGTAATTCTGATTCTACTGAGTCGAGTATTCATGATGATCATTTATCTTTATCAACGATTTCAAAAGACAGTGCAGAGTCATATGGCAGTTCAGAGTTAAATGAAATCCAGAATTCTTGTGAGACAACATTTCCTAATCAACCGATTTATCAGAATTCTCATGCTATTGTACCAAGTATGACTTTTCCTAATGATTCACATATTTCTAATGAAATTACTTGCAATTCTGAGGAAAATATGTTAAATGAACCTAATCATGATCGAAAACCTGATGTGGTTTGGATAGATGCTGATTTTTCTAACGATCCTACGCTCTGCAATGACAGTCCTGATGAATTTCATGAGAATATTTCAGAAGAATCAAATCCTGATGTCATATCATATATTACCTATCCTCATAATGTATTTGATCTTCGTGAAAAACCTGCCCAATGCGAAGCACGAGTACTAAGTGACCTCGAGTTTTATTATATTTCGGATGATTTCATATCAACTGCTGTTCACCCTTATCACAAAAACAGTTCTAATGTTTACTCTAAACAATGTGAGAAATATGTTTTAAATGAAGCCACATTATTCATAACTTGGGAGTATAAAGATCCAACATTATTTCGTGGGGGGGGATAGTGTTGAAAAATCTATGGTTCGAATTCTAGATATTAATGATTTCATTACAAAACCGACATGCTGGTTGTATACAATTCCAGGTGAGTCTGTTCCGATTTCGTTTGTTAATTCCAATACTAATGAGCACTTTCTAGATACTACAAAGTTTTTATCTTATGCATTGTCGGACAGACTCAGGATGAACTTAACAAGAAGACGTACAACCGATTACAAACACTTATATTTCTATTTAAGCTGTGGCGGATGTGGTGTTTGAATTAACTAATGATTCTTTTGTACTTGTTGAATGCTCGATTTCGAATTCTAAATACAGTACATTCGTTGTGCATGTGTTTTCTTAATTCAATTGCGTTAATCCTGGAATTCCTAATTCATACTATAATTAGAATACTATAGCCACACTCAGAGCCTTCGGCCTAAAGATCCAATCCATAAGGCAGTGGGGTAACATAAGGAGATGCAATCCCATGTTAGTTGGAGACCAACGATTGGTTCATACACCCTTTGTTCCTCCAGGATCCTGGAGCCCATGTATACCATTGGTTTGGAACGAGAGCTTCCTAGCTCCCCTAGATGGATCCTCCATATCTAACAGCCCGGTTAAAGTACCGAGCATTCGATTTTCGTCCTCTCCCGTGGTTCGAGAAGGAAGTGGCTGCATGCACGTAGCCATGTGACAGCATTTGGAGAGGGAGATCTGACTCTTCCCACTCTCAGCCGTACCAGGACATTTTCTAATGTTTATCAACTTACCTATCTTAGCTATTAGAAGACAATTATACAAATTTGGGATTTCTCTTTCGTTGAATGCATAAAACAATTATAATTCCTCGAACTAATGTAAGTGAATATGTTTTAGTTAAGTATCCATTTGTTGTTTATTTTACCAACTGTGTAGATAACTTTGACAGCCCTTATTATAGCTGTCAACATGGTGTTATGCAAGATATCCTGGAATTCAAGACATGTTTGGAATTAGTAAGCATGTAATTTTTAAAATCGATATAGTACTGATATAATGAAGTATGAGTAGATCAGAATTCGTGTACGTTAAAAGAAATTTGAAGTAAGTTATAATCATCAACCGTCAAAAAACCCTTACGAGTAATAGTAACTATCCTTTCACCACTATAGTAAAACAACTTAATATACGTCCTTCTGAATTCTACTTAATAAAATTCAAATTAAGACAAGCATTCGTCCACACAAAACGTCTCTTGGAAAATAAACTAAAGCTGTTCTGTTACAATGTACTATCTAAAGTTTTCAGGGCGTTGCTAAATGGTTACCGAAAAATATTTAAGGTATTTGTACGGAATAATGATTTTGTTCTACATGATTGCCCACTGACTAAACCTTCTCTACATTTGTTTATTTTTTTAACTAACTTTATATCCCTCTTTTATACATGTTCCAAGAAATTTATATCTCTCTTCAGGGA